GTAGCCGGAATCTTTAGCGAGCTGCTCAGCCACTGTCAATCAGCGCTCAATCAAATGTATTCGGCAACTTCCTGAGTCGTGAGTGTTGCCACCCACACAGGACACAAGAGACAAAACACATTAAGCAAACATAGCGGAAGTTCCTGCATGCGGGTCCTCCTTTGTTCTGACCCTAATCGCTTTAAACTGTTACACACACACACATACACACCCATAGTTAGGGGTTGCTCCCTGTTTTTATTGCGTGGGCGTTTCGCCAGTTTTATGTACCATCCGGAACTATTGCAATTTTCATTAATGAGAAACGCGTGTCCATCGGACAGTTTATTGTGTTTCCATTTGGAATGTGGCACGAAATCCGTTAATGGATTTTAGTGGCAGGCACAAATAGATTAAGGACTATAATGCTCGAACTTCGAAATATCTCTGCTGCTCCATGCTTATAAAATAGAGCATTCTAGAATTATTGCCAAACTATTTTAGATGATTTTCCTGTTTTGTGAAGTGTAAAATTTAAAACTATTAAGATAATTTCATACAGACCTTTCTTATAGACCTGTCTTTCTTCACTTTAAAAATGCTTGATGGTCTCAAATCTACATAAATATATTAACGCACAAATTATAATCAATTTTCAGGTGAGGCTTAATAGATGTGCTCAAAAATGTGCAGTCAAATCAAACAAAACAGACTGTTGTTTCCTGTTGAATTTGTATTGACATAAAATAACATTTCGAGCTTCGTAGCGCAATTTCACTTCTCCTTTGCATTACATTAACATTTAGCTTAACAGCGCATGAGCATATTCAATCAAACCACAACAACAGCAGCAAATACTGCTTCATTTAACAGGTCATACAACATGTTCGATACTATCCAATCTGTTAACTTAACATATGCTGTTGCTGTTGCTGTAAAGTATTGCTGTTAGCTCATTTTCTCGCATGCTACAACCAAATGTTAAATTTTATTCTATGCTCTGCCGCATTGGGTATTTTAGTTAGGTGTTGCGACTTGTAACATTTTGATAACATTTTATGTGGGATTAGATAAGATTTGAATTGAATTAAACCTTAACCAAATAAATCAATAAAGCATTAAACATGCAATCTATCATTGTTTGTAATTTTTCCTATGTGATAAGAATAGGTTAGGTTAGGTATTTAATAGTGGTTTTTTATTTCAATCAAATATTTGCTTATTGTGTATCTTGTTTCTATTATTTATACAAGAATAATTCTGTGACAGTCTAGAAAATACGAGTTCAAATATAAATGCATGACAAATTATTAATATTACTAATAATAATAATATTACAATGAACACAAATAGTAAAATATATAAAAATATTAAAATAATAAAAGTAAAATTCAAAATAATACATATTAAATTAGTATATGTGTATAGCTTCACTTCAAATCCAGCTCTCATTGGCTATGCGGCGTGCAACATGCAACATGTCTGTTATGCAGCTGGCTGCCACCAATTCTGTCGGTGCTGCTGGCTCTGCTGCTATGTTGGCCGTATCCGTATCCAACAACAACAACAGCAACAAGAAAATGTCGCACGTTTCGTTTCGGTTAGTCTCGATAATTCAATCGCCCTGCAAAGACGTTCAACGTCGCTGCCAACTCAACTGCGGACCTCTCTCTCGCACGCGCTCACGCTCTGTCTCTCTCGCGTTCTCTCTCTCTCACTCTTTATCATTCTCCGTCACAGTCGCTAGTGTCTGTTCGTATTTCGTATTCGAATTCGCAAATTTACCGTTACGCGCGCAACACTTGCGAATTGGGTGGCAACGCCAACAGCTATAAATAGTTCATCAATGTAAAAACAAAACAAAACAAAATAAAAGAAAAACAAATTAATACGTGACAGCCGCTGCGAATTGTTTGCCAAAGCGGAAACGGAAGCGCCTCTCGCGCCCACCCACCCGCGCCCAATGTCAGTGCCAGTGAGAGCTGTGTATGAATGTGTGTGCATTGTTCCGCCTCAAATTGTTATTACTTTTGTTTATTAACAACACCCAACAATTGGCAAAATAGAAACAAGCGATCGAACGCGTTCAATTTGAAATTCCTGGCAACAAAAATTGGATTTATCAATTAATGACGCCCACTTTGCCGTGCCCCCAGCTTCAAGTACAACCTCAATGTCAGCGTTATCTAACGGCGCTGGCTGATTGTTAAAAGTTGACGCGGAGAATAAGGCGAGCAGGACGAAATATTAGTTTGCTGCTCAGCTGGCAGTAAATGGGTTAAAATTATGTACATTAATCGCCGAATGAATGTCGAATCAGTTAAAAAGACTGCTCTTTTTTATTGTAAGTATATATGACCAGCAGACTTAGGGAATACCTATAAAGGCATTTCTAAAATAGTTTTTAATAAATATGCTTATTTTAAATTGAACGGAAACTGAATTTCAAATATCAAATATAAATTTATTAATTAATATACCTTTAAAAAATTAGTCTGAGCCAAAAATATTATTTAAGTAAAATAAAAAATAAAATAATAAAATAAAATAACTAAATACAAACATCAATCAAGCTCAATTCAAAGTTTGAAATTTGATTTAAAGAAATAAATTGAATTATAGAGTTTCTGTCAAATCGTCGTAAATTTAATTAAATCAGTATTTTATTTGATTACTTTGAAGTATTTATTATTTTCTATTAAGAGTTTTTCTTGTAAGCGCAGTTTATTTCTGCACAAATTTCTGTATATTCCACACCCAAGTGCTGCTCAGTTTCTTTGACTTTTTGGTCTAAAATCTGAAAAATGTTGCATGAAAATCGACATTCGATACAGTCGGCAATGCCAAAGCAAAAAGGCAGCGTTGAACTATTTCTTGTAAAGTTAGTCTCCAAGAAAGACATTCCAATGAAAATCCATTTGCTCAGACTCTGTACCTATCATCGATGTTGTTCAACTAACTCTTAATTAGGTTAAACAGCTAAATTAAATCATCATCATATCATCATCCCATTTGTAGTGGCTACCATTCTTTGACTGAAGGGTAACACATTAAATTTTTATATAATGGATAAAATCTCTTCTTTTAAAGGGTATTCACCTAATTTGCTATTGGTAGCACTTCAAGCAAATAACTTAAGCAACAGCAAGCTCAAACTCTTGCTTTACCAGCAAACACATAACAACACATACACACACACACAGAGAGACACACACCCATTCAAGTCTTGTGGCATACCTTATCTTCATTCATAATTTCATCAACCTAGTAAGGAAAAAAAGAAGAGGCAGAGTAAGGGGAAAAATATTATAGCTCAGTCAAAACTTTGCGACGTTTCTTCTTGACTGTTTTGTTGTTGTATTTTTTTGTGCACGTCGCACATTCGATTTATTTATTAGAACTCTGTCGATAATTACAAAATAATGCGTTTTACCAACCAGCCGCCTCTGCCCACACCCTCCCCGACCACTCGGCCCATCTCGTATCTTGAACCACGTTGAAGTAGCGTTAACTATGCTTGGGAACAAACTATAAAGTGAAGTATGAAACGAGGTTATACGAAGCATAAATTTTCTGGCGATATGATGCCTCTCCCCCAACGCCACCTCCATTCTCCCTCACCTCCCCAAACCAAACCAAACCATTACAAAGTGTGTGATAAGATTTCGATAGGTTTCGTTTTCAGTTTCAGTTATATTTCTTGTTGTCTTTGGGCTAGTGGAGCCCGAAGAAACCAGAAGCGAGAGGCAAATAGTTTTCGATTATTTGTAACTTGGCTAATTTGTGGAAGCTACTTGTGAATGAGGCTGTAAGCGAAGCCATTTCCAAACTCGAGAGGCCTTCACTGAAGTCAAGTACTCTCTGGAGTGGTTAACATGTGCTTGGAAGGCTCCAAGTTGCGTTCGTTTTGGGTGGTCTCCACTGTTTGGAGGGTTTTCTTGTGGCGCTAAACAATTAATTCAACTGAATGGTGCAAAAATGCTTGAAGGGATAGGGAGTTCCAGTTGATAATGCTATCGATTTGGGAATCGAATTCATAAATTAACTTATAATTTATTTATAATTAAACTAAACTAATTGGAAAGCTTGCTTTTAAACAAACTAGAGAAGCCGAAAAGCCGAGAAAGGCAGGTATTATTGCTGAAAATAATGACAATATCCATTTAAAGTCTGGTGGGCGCTTGGTGGAAGAAGGTGTTCATAAATTTATAAAAAAAGATTTTATCGATTTAAGAAACGCCAAGAAAAGCAGTAGAATCAGGAATTACTTTATTTTCTATACGAAAAGAAACTCAAATTGTGCACAGTTTAAAAATGCTTTACGATAATTGTGAAAAGCTACACAAAAATCAAAGCTAGTTACTTAGCCTTTATCCATTCTAATTCCATCTGTTATGTAGACATGCTGCGATTCAAATAATAAATAAATAAAGCTGGCTATCAATATATTTTCGTAACACTTTACAAGTGGTTATAGATGAACCATAAAACATGTCTGCGGCTGACAGTTGAGGAGGCTTAACATAATATAAACCGATCCAGTTTTCCCGTCTAATTTACAACCTGACCTGGCACAATAATCAAAGCAATAGGCGCCGCCACGCTGTGTGTAACACAAAGAAAAAACAATAAATTCATCAAATCAAAAACGCGATTATGAATGAATGTTATAAAATAGCAAAAGAGACAACAAATCAAACATGATAAATGGCCAAGCAGGCGACTACTGAGCTACGCCCCAGAGAGGGAGGGCACCGAAGAGGAAGTCATAAAAAAGGCATAGCTGTGTGTGGGAGTGTGATTGAGTGTGTGCGTGTGTGTGTGTGTGTGAGTCGCATTTTGACAAGGTGTAAACACTGGTATGCAATTTAGGTTGTTGTATCTGTTTTAGATACAATTATTGATTGGCTGTTAAAGATACGCAAGATATGTGCGATAAGAACGCCTCTGATAAAGCAAACACTTTCTAATGCCATCTCTCTCTCTCTCTCTTACTCTTTCTCGCCCTCTGCCTCATTCAGGTGGTGATTTCAGGTGCATTATGTACAGTAGAAGATTACGTAATAATGTCACAGTGTGCACACAACAAAGCCATACACCTAGCTGCGGAAGGAACAGTCTCAGTGACAGACATTTCACAGATTCGTAAGTACAAAATCAATTACAATTTACAACTTCCCATCCAGTTAAACGGGCTCTAATCCCACATATACAAACATAAAATACAGCTAAAAAAACATCTTAAGTATCTCTCTCCCTCGCTCCCTCTCTCGATTGAAGCTACTTTGTTTATTGACACGTCTTGCCGGAAATGCCATCACATTTTGTATTTAACATTTTCTTTGGCAGCCTTTCACTAACAATAACATTCGACAACGACATTCAGCAACAATGTTAAGTACTTGTTATCATTGTTGTTGCTTTCATTTCCATGACAATGGAGCATCTCATCTCAGCCCATCTCAACTCAAGTCATTCCTGAACCCAAGAAGTAACTTCACTTGACCAAAAAGCTGTCATAACTTTTACAAATCAAGTTAACATAATTTTCAATATTTTCTCAATTATTTGTTAAACTATGAACGTTTTCAAACTGTCAATCAACTATCTTACATCCATCTGTCAAGTCTTCAAGATAAACGTGAAATACCTTGTTGTTCCGTTTAACAAGTGCAGCTTTGTTATGGAATGACGCGTTATGCATACCTATTAGTGAAACTAATATTTGAATAATTTTTAATTAGAACACAAGTTGGAACTGACTGATTGACTGACTGATTGAATGATTAGTTGACTGATTCATTGATTGTTGCTCTGATTGATTGACTGCACAAGTTCCTGAGTTCCAATTGATGGACCATCAAACTCATTGACTTATTGCTTGATTGCTGGATGATTAATTAACTGAGCAGTTGATTGAAGAATTGATTGACCGAATTGGTCTTCCGATTAACTATTAACTTACTGATTGAGAAAACAATAAACTGACTAATTAGACCGAAACCCGTTTCGCCCATTTATCCGTATTGCTATTCTTAAGTTTTCGATCTTGAAATAAAAATGTATTTATATAAAATAATTTTCACAGTTATTTAATAACACATTGAGCGCAGATAAAACAGAAAAAAAACTTTTCTAAATTTACAACGATACATCAGCTCATCAAGTTTTAGACTTAAAAAGTACGATTTAAGTAGCAAATTTAATTGGAGTTGCCAAACATCCAAGGCCCATGTTGCGCGTTGCAAGTCGCCAAATCTCAAGCCCAATTTAAGAGCTTTGTAGACCATGCAGCTCTTTTGGTGATTTGGAGCATAAATTGGCTACTTTATGACTGAGCTGGAGTTGAGTTAAAAAATAAAATGAAACGCGCTAACTTTCACTGCGCAGGTCAATTCGAGCAGCCCGGCCGTGGCTAATTGCAGCCCGACTGCCTGAATGCCTGAATGCCTAAATGCCTAAATGCCTAAATGCCCGCCTGGCTGATTGCCCGCTTGCCCGCAGCTGTTCGAAAAACTGAGATAGCGGTTCGAAGGGTCGCAGCACGAGCTATGCCAGCAGGACCCTAACTATACTCTAAAGTATCGTCCATTGTTCTGTCCCCGTCGTGTTTTTGCACATTTTCGAGCAGCAACAAATGCCACACAACAGGTGCCAAATGCGCGTGAACATTTTCAGCTGGTATTTACAAAAAATATAGATATTTATATATGTACACGGAAAAGTTGTAGTATAAAGGGCCACAGCATTTATGGCTAATGTGCGAAAAATGTCTTTGTCAATTCACACGCCCACTGCGGCTGAGCTCGGACTATTTCCATTATTTGCATGAGCTGCGGTATTTTAGGCGGAAGCTCAGGTAGTCAACTAGTCTACTACTGCTGCCATCGCATTTTCATGAATAACAATTTATGTATATGGGCATCTATATCTCTCGGTTTGGGTTTATGATTTGCCATACAACACTAAGCTGCTGCCAGCTGGGTTAAGCCCGATGTGCACTTGTGCAAACATTATTTGCGGGTTTTCCCACCTGAAGAAAAATAAACTGCTCAAGGTTTATCATTTTTATCTGTGTTGAACCGGAATTACTTAAAGTAACCAATAATAATAATGCCAATGTGTGACCTGTCCATGTCTCATAAGATTGACTTAAATATAGCTATTGGGCATGAAAATTATGCGAATTTCTTAACTTTGACAGGGTTTTTCCTGGACAAGCTCAAATTCATAGGATTGATTGATCAAATTACTTTTAAACGAGGGAAGTCTGAAAATAGAACAATAAATAAATGTAGGCATATGAAATATTTGTATATTTGATAGTATATAGCAACTTTACCTTTCTCTAAAATCAGTATTCGCACCCGCATCTGCTGTTGAGCCGCCCCTGTGCTGTGGCTGGGGCGCTTTTAAGCAGCTCGTGCCTAATAAATCTTGACATTTCAATCAATGACCCTCCACACCCCGACACTTACGTCCAACCTCCCTATTTGCCCTGTTCACGGTATAATCCCGTAGCGGACCGCAACTGAAGCGCTTTTCCTCAGGAAAAATCCGGCAGCTCGGCAATAAATCACATGATTTAATTTGTGGACTAAAGGCAAAAAATGTTGAGGTCGCTTTACCGCGATCATGAGTCGAAAGGGTAGCAATAGCAAAACTAGGGCTACTTGCCCCTTGGCTATAAAAACATTTTATGGCTCATCATGTGCGCTCATAAATTTCAGAACGCCATCACTTCTATCTACCCCCAGCTGCCAGAAGAGCAGCAACGTTTTGGTCTGGTGTCCAGGGCGTTGCCCAATCAACACCTTCGCCCCGCCGAGTAGCTGGTGTAATAAGTTCTTGTCTGTTAATTTCTTAATCAAATAATAGACAAGGGTTTGGTCCAAGTCCCCAATGATCATTGTTTTATATGCTCAACAATTCTTTAATGGAGGTCTGCGAGTCTTCTTTGCTATCGAATCTCTGTTTGCCTTGTAGTTCATAAAAGCTGTTTAGCATTGTTGGGCAGCGTTGAAGGCTGTCCAGCCCCTGTGATCAATCACAGGCGGAAACATTCAACTAGAAACAATAACAGCAAAAATTCCATAGAGCTATCAAAAGCGAAGTCTGCTAAACAAATACGTGATGTCTCTCTAAAATCTATATTTGTTTTGCTATTTTTGTAGCTCTCACAGCTTTATATAGAATCTCTAAAAAAATTTAAGTCGCAATACTTAACTGGGTAATACTCGCATAATAAAAGTGTTGAACAAGTCTTTAGCTAAATCTCCATGACTTCCCCATAAATAATATATTTGCAATTTAACAGCCCTATAAAATTATATTCATTCGGAAAGAGACGACCTTTCATTGTCTAAATTATATTTAAAAACTATTACACTTACTTAGTAATTCTATATAATACGTTCTAGAATACCTAAGATACATTTTAACCTACTAGTGTAGAAAATTCCACCTTGAGCTCAGTCACAAAATTTAAATTATTTAAAATTAAATTTAAATTAATTATTTTCACTATTTGACATTTGAAATTCAGAATATAGCTATTGCCCTATACGAGTATGATAAAATCGGATTCTGTGATAAATAAAAAGGTATTAAAAGTGCTGATTATAATTTATTTATAGTTCAAAAGATGATTGAACTTCTCATTTTATATTGCTCGATTCAAAATATTTATTATTTAATATTAAACATAGATGTAAAGTGTTTCAGAATCTGTGAGAATTAATCATGTAAGCTTTATAAGCTATGCAGCAGATCGATTCAGAACGAGAAGCACAGCCAGAACATCTTGAATGAATGACTTTGGCTGTTGGCCGTTTGGCTGATAGGTGATAATAATGTGGGAAATATTTAGCACCATCATTACAAACATCATTAAAATTTAAATAGATGTGTTTAACATGAAAATAACCAGAAAAGACGAATTTTTTTTTTTTTTTTTGGTACAGTGAAAAAAGGAAATCATGCCGTGAAAATTCCAAGAAATAGCACATGCCGAGCACAGGTAGGGTTAGGGCTAGGGTTTAGCTGAAGACTTAGGTGTAGGGGTAGTCATTGAACCTGCCCAAGCAGATTCATCAATTAACGCCCCGACTTCGACTTGGAGTTGGACTTGCAGTTGGAGTTGGTATTGGTGTTGGAGTTGGAGTGGTTCACCGTGGTGTCGAGAGGCGGTCACTTCATTAAACGCTGTCCAAGTTGTGGACAAATAAATGCATTTCCGTTGCGCACAAACACATTTCCAAGAGCCGCCGACAACAGCCACAGCAACAGCAACAGCAACAACAACAACAACGAAAAGAATCTCAGATGCATTTTTACCTACCGCCTAGAAACTCAAAAAACCCGAACAGTTAAAAGAGAGAAGAAGAAGTAGAAAACATGGTCAACAACAAAGCCGAACAAGTGTACCGCTTGCCGATCGTCAGTCGTACAACAACAACAACAACAGAAATGAAGTCAGAGGCAGGTTCGACAGTTTTTTTTTGTTTTTTTGGTCAATTGCTTCACTCGATCTTTCTGAACCTGGCCCTCGAAAACCTTGGACCCGCCATTGATTTCCACTTAACGCTTCAAAACTCAAGTGGCCATCAAGTTTACAGTTTAAGTAAGCGTCAGGGACAAGGCGGGAGCAGGAGGGAGCAGCGATTCGAATGCGCTTTCCTCTTTCGTTTCTCTATTTCAATATTATTGTTTCCCACAGTGAAAAGAAAATATTTAAGCGCCAATTTCATGTAGTTTTCCTCCATTCTCAAAAAAATACCATACAATAAAGAGAATAACCCATTCCCCTTACCGTGTGCAGTTGGTCTACTGCCGTCCCTCAAGTGTCGCCCTCTCTTTCGCTCTATCTCCCTCTCTCTCTCTCTCTCTACTTGAATTTGAATAACAATGGCTCTGAACTTCGGCTTGGCTTCAAAGCGCCCTTCGATCTTTACTTTTCCTATTCGGTTTTCCAATTGGTAATGAGCGATCGCATTTTTGATCTGGCAGGAGCTGCCTTGTCAGCAATTACGCACTTAACTCCGATAGTAACTGACAAAGGAGTTAAACTCTCAGCTAGTCAATGCATTGAAATCAAAAGTTCTAAGAATTATTATTTTCCATGTGTGTTTCCTTTTTGGTCGTGA